AAATATAATATACATGTACCTGTGCACTTTGAAGTTATTAGCTTTATACAGGATTAAAAATGACAGAACAAGGGTAGCAGGAGAGTCAGAGTCAAGCATAATTTCAAAAATATTCCTAAAGTTATAGTGATAAACCTCCCTAGATATTTATTTTTACAAATAAAATAATTTGCAAGCTTTTAAAAGCTATATTGCTTCGCATGGATTTTTTTACCATTATGAATTTCAACAATCATCTAAAAATGAAGCTTATAGCTTCACATTTAAATATGAACACTGCAGGCTTTAGAATAAAACCAACAGGACTAGACTGATAAATTGATTTTTTCCCATGATTCTCATCTAACAACTTTTCAAAGGAAACAAAAAAACTTTGCTAGGTTTACACAGGATGACACGGGAGTACTTCGGAAAGTACATTTATACCCAGTAAACGAAGTTGAATTGTTCCTTGAACACCAGTTTGAAAGTACAAAGTGATAAAATGATTCGGAAACCAGAAGTGGTTTGGATCACCTAGATCTGGTCTTTTTGACCTGTTTGTCCATACTACATTAATTCAATTATGTACATGCATTACCTATGTTAAATAATCTTCTTGACCTTTGGTTCCTATGTTTTTTTGAACAATACTTTGTGTTATTAATTGTTCTAAGTTTTTAAGAACTTGTGTCCAATCCTTTTGTTATAACTTCAAAACAATAAAATATGTTCAAACCAAACCTAGATAACCCTACTATATACAAGTGTTCTGTCTCTTGTTAAATAATAGTTTTTTCAGTATGTCACATCAAAACTTTGTTGCACTAGCTTTTTTCACCTGAGCCGAAGGCTCAAGTGAGCTTTTCTGATCAAAATTTGATGTTTCGTAATGGTGTTGTCGTTGGTGTTGTCGTCGTCGTTGTCATCGTCGTCGTAAACTTTTCACATTTTCTTCTTCTTCTCAAGAAACTTTTCTACCAAACTTGCCACAAAGTACCCTTAGGTGAAGGGGATTCAAATTTGTTCAAATGAAGGGCCACGCCCTCTTCCAAGGGGAGATAATTATGAATAAGTGAAAATTTAATGGCATTTTAAAAAAATTTCTTCTTCTCAAGAACCACTGGGCCAAGAAAGATGAAACTCATGTGAAGGCATCCTCAGGTAGTGTAAATTCAAGTTTGTTCAAATCATGACCCCCGGGGGTAGGGTGGGGCCACAATGGCGGATCAAAGTTTTACATAGGAGTATATAGGGAAATTCTTTAAAAATCTTCTTCTCAAGAACCACTGTGCCATCTTGAAATGAAACTCATGTGGAAGCATCCTCAGGTAGTGTAGAAATTCAAGTTTGTTCAAATCATGACCCCCGGGGGTAGGGTGGGGCCACAATGGCGGATCAAAGTTTTACATAGGAGTATATAGGGAAATTCTTTAAAAATCTTCTTCTCAAGAACCACTGGGCCAGGAAAGATGAAACTCAATTGGAAGCATCCTCAGATAGTGTAGACTCAAGTTTGTTCAAATCATGACCCCCGGGGGTAGGGTGGGGCCACAATGGCTGATCAATGTTTTACATAGGAGTATATGTAGGGAAAATCTTTAAAAATCTTCTTCTCAAGAACCATTGGGCCAGGAAAGATGAAACTCATGTGGAACCATCCTCAGATAGTGTAGATTCAATTTTGTCCAAATCATGACCCCTGGTGGTAGGGTGGGGCCACAATGGCAGATCCAAGTTTTAGATAGGAGTATATAGGGAAAATCTTTAAAAATCTTCTTTTCAAGAACCACTGGGCCAGGAAAGATGAAACTCATGTGGAAGCATCCTTAGATAGTGTAGATTCAAGTTTGTTCAAATCATGACCCCCGGGGTAGGGTGGAACCACAATGGCAGATCAAAGTTTTACAAAGGAATATATAGGAAAAATCTTAAAATTCGTCTTCTCAAGTACTTCAAAGCAACGATTAGTGATAGTATAGGAAGAAAATGTTTTTAAAAAATCTTTTTATCAAGAACAGCAAATTCATATGCTGTATTAATTAACATGAAGACATTCTAAAGTAGTATTAAATTCAAGCCCCCCCCCCCCCCCCCTTCAGTAAACATTTCAGTTTTGATCTGATTTGTGTTTTTCCTAGCCGTTTTGCTCAGGTGAGCGATGTGGCCCCTGGGCCTCTTGTTTAATATTCATTGTGTTCATTCACTGAAATCAGATTAGATTTCAGTTTTAATCTAATTTTACACATATTTATATTATCTGACTCTGAGATTTATGAAAAAAATGTTTATTAAAAGCAAACCATATATATTAAAAGTCTGAATTTTTTCTTATATTGCAAAAAAAATATTTAAAAAAATATAAACATTTGGAATTTTTAATCAAAGTCTTTTTTTTATATACCAGAAAAAATAAATGAATAATCTAAAAATATTTAATTTCATTCAAAATTTCCACTTTATGATAACAGATAATTCATTACCAATTGGGAAACCCTATATATTTATCATAAAAGATACCCTTCATAAAAGTTAATACTTAAGAAATGAATTTAATTTTTGAAGATTCATGAGGTTAAGAACTACGACACTTCACACCGGCATATTTCATGAAGCGCATTAGCGCTTCATGATAAATATGCCGGAGTGAAGCGTTGTAGTTCATATACCTCACGAATCTTCAAAAAATTAAATTCATTTCTTATATTTACATTATTTTTCTGATGACTTGCCATAAATCTACGCCGTTCAACTGTCATTTTAAAAAAAAAAAAGAGTGCACTATATTTTTTGACTTTCTGACGTCAAGAGCGGTATTATGACGTAACAATGGAGATATTCATGCTTTTTCGTGATACATACCCTAATGTAGTTCATGAGAAAATATACTGCATTTTATTTTGTAAAGAATCATAGGGGAAATTTATTGGAAATGTAAATATTACCTGATATACAAATTCTAAGAAATCAACCTAATACATGTATATACGATATGATGTTTTTTCCCCAATGCCAGAGAGAAATCTCGAGTATTCATTGTTAGAGCCACGTTAAGTGGAGAGTCATAAGAAATGTACTTGAACTACTCTGACACCAACAAACTGTTAACAGCCAAATTCACTGAACTCTAGAATTTCAACCTGATGACAGAAAACCCTACTTAGGAACTCGAGTGATCAGCCACAGACTAACTATAACATGTATAAGTTTGTCATTTTTTCTCAAGTGGTACTGCGTACAATGTAGTAACAACTGATTCTATAAAATAAACAGTTCTTCTGTTTTAATTTTTCTAAAATTCAAAACTGTAAGGGTAGCAAATATTTTAGATTTAAATCATCAAATGATTTCAAATTTAGTCATGTGCAAGTAGGAGGATAAAATGATTGGTATCTAATGATCACGTTTCTTTTCTGATTGTTCCAGTTCATTACATTCCTGAAAGATTTCTGACACTTTCTTAACCTCTGTTGTGCTGTGAGTAAAACATTTACATTCAATATTGTTACAAGATTTCAAACATCACTGGAAGAGTGCCACTGTGAGATGTGAATCACTAATGGCCGTCTGAAGTTCCCAATCAATACGCTGACAAACAAGTTACACACAGAAGAAAACGCTGATGAAGTCAGGGCAATTGTGAAACTCTGCAAAATGTGAGGCAATCAGTTTCTGATAGACTTCCAGAAAATAATGGCGTAATCATGCTCAATGTAGGTGTTTCTCGTGAAGCATTCAATTGATCATGAACTGCTTACCATATGAATCATACATGCATACTGGACATTTGAAATACTACTGTATTTTCCAATACATTTTAACCATGATCCTGATTCAAAAATTGAGAAAGATAAAATTCTCCCGTTTTCTTATTTCTTTTTCCCTAGCTGGCTTACAATGTACTCCTCTTCAAATGAAAAGGGTGTGTGTTGGTTAACAACAGATCGTTTTAATATTTAGATACATGTACTAATATGTATATGTACTCAGTTAATTTGAGTATACATAATAAAGTTTTGACTGCTAAGGTGGACACTGGGAAAGATTAGTTCTGGAAAACAAATGTAACAATTCAAACCATAACAGGTAGAATGCTTGTTATCTGATAAATGACCTTGAAAAGCTTTGCAATGATAACATGACAGGTGTTTAATTACTGATTTAATTAAAAATAACATATACACTCAGATACAGTACACCACTGCATGATACTTTTTGCATTGAAATCAAAATTTCTATAGGTATTTCAGGAAAATTATTTTTCTGATAATTGTTTTGATTTAGACTAAACTTAATAAGACCAGAACTCCTCCTTCATGTTTATAAATATAAACGTTAAAACATGCATAAGCATCAGAGTCTGTATCTCAAAATATAGACTGCTGAGAAGCAAAACCACAAGAGGGGTCAATATGAAGGCAGGAGTACATAATACAGCTAATACACTGGAATATTGTTCAAGTCTAGCCATGAACATAAGGAACCAAACTCAGCACCATATGCTGAACTAGAAACATGTGTGTAAATGTCAGAGGATTGGCTATATTGCATGACCACAGTCTTAATGAAAGGGAATTCTGAATGTTCATAATAATTAACTTTAACTTTCTACCATGTCAGAATGTCAACATCAAATACACACAGATGTAATTAACAAAAGCTGAATAAACCTAAGAATACATTCTAGTTATTAATCAACAACCATAGAATTATACAAAAGGATAGGTTTAAATTGTACATTGTATTGTTTACAACTGGAAAACTTTAAATCATTTGAGTTGACTCTTTTTCCACATCACTGATTATAATAATCAAGATAAAAGAGTTGTAAGAAACTTTAAAACTTATCAAATGGTTCAATTAACACTCTAACCACCCTAACTGCATTTTAATCAGGAAATCACTGAAGCTATTAGCAAAGTGCAGCAAGTAAATCACAGTTAATGCCAAAGCTAAAATAGAGAAAGAAATGTGCCAAACACAAAAACCACACCAAAACCTAAAAGATATTTTTTACTTACGAAACTGGCAGATGAATTTGTACGTGTAGAAGAATGAAGAATCGCAATGATAGTCATGCCATCTCCAGCCATCACCTCGTCTCATCAAGGCACAGTCCTCTAATGAAATGAATCCCCCCGTCTTACTGGGCTGTCCAGAGGCCCAATACCCCCAGCTCAGCCTCTCCCCTGAAATTATATTAAATGAGTTATTATCTGACAACACATTTTTATGTTTAAAACTCAATTTTCTGCTATTAAATTTGTGTCAAAATTGTTGAGGGGTAAAGGTACCGGTACTAGAGTATAGTTTTAATTGCTGATTTTTGATATTGCGAAAAAATGATACCTGCATTCCCACCTCATTCCCACAATATATTTTTTTTGTACTAATTTGATGTATCCACCATTTCCTCTTTACAACTATGAGATAAAATTTATGCTCTTTTTGAAAGTGTTCTTGAACTTGCCCAAATAACCTAGATAGAGTTCGTGACATACCCTCTTTTTATCAGACAGTAATTTTTCTGTGATATATTCTCATTTTTTCAAGAAAAAAATCACTGACAAGACATAAAGAGTTAACCTCTTCTGTCGGTGACCTTAAATTTGGCCAATTGACCTTTAGTCACGGTCATTACACATCCTCATCAAGGACATATTCATAAAGGACATATTCATTTGTAATCTTTGAGTCAAGTATGGCCTTTCAATGTCTTTCCATTTCTACATTAGAAAGTTAAGATCATGACTATGATTCTGACATGATTGGGTGGAAAAACAGAAACAGCTAGATTAATAGACAATGAAAATTTAATGTTCTACTTAACAACTTGTGAACATTGATATGATTCATAATGTGCATTCTCATCTAGTATATGGCAGGTACATTGGAAATTAGACCTGTCAACAAGTCCACAAAATGGTCAAGGTTTTATCCTGAATTTAAAACATGAGGCCTGGTGTCTCATGTTAACATAAAATTAAATACATTGCATGTTCAGTCTGCTCCCATTGAGAATTTAAGGCAACAAAAGTGTCATGAGATTTGTCAATCCCTGTTCATGTTGTCATCAAGTTCGAAACATTTTACCTACTTTACATGTATATAAGGGACAATTTCAGACATCTAGTCAGATAAAATGCACAAAACAATACTGTACGTCTATATTAGAATTTTAACTTTACTTAGAATTGAACATTACCATTAGTCCACTGCCACCCCCGGCCATGTCTGTCATGAGCCCCGATCCACACCCCGTTATTTCTCCACCTCAAGACTGAGTTCAGGGTGTGAATCACAAAACTCATTTTATTCATGTTCTTGATAGAGATCAGCTCTCCACCCCAGGACCAGCACTGACTGTTAGCATCAACCCATGTCTTTTCTGTGTTAACAAATGTATAGCACATCTCTCCATTTTCAGTTTTATATCCTCCGATGCGATGGAAGACACTGGGACATCTGTCTAGAGAAGCTAAAGCCTCTACAACAATAAAACAAAGAATATTACTTTTATAATTATAATAAGTATCACAGTAGTTTTACCTTAGTTTATGAAAATATGATACCTGTATTAACAAATAAAAATATATTCTAAAATAAGTAGAAATTTAAAGTAGAATCACAAACAATCAAACCTTTCATTTTAACAAATTTTCATTATAAATAGGCATATATTTAAGAAATGAATTTAATTTTTGAATCGCGCTTCATGAAATATGCCGACGTGAAGCGTCGTAGTTCATAACATCATGAATCTTCAAAAAATTAAATTCATTTCTTATATTTACATTATTTTTCTGATGACTTGCCATAAATTTACGCCGTTCAACTGTCATTTTTAAAATAAAACTGTGCACTATATTTCTTGACATTTTGACGTCAAGAGCGGTATTATGACGTAACAATGGAGATATTCATGTATATAAATGTAGTTCATGAGAAAATATACTGCATTTTATTTTGTAAAGAATCATAGGGAAAATTTATTGGAAATGTAAATATTTATAAATGAACAATTTTCTTAGAAGTTTTCAAATAATTAAATTAACACTCTAAATTTAAATAACCTTGTATCTAAAGATCTACTCATTAATGAATTCCAGGTGTGTATATAAATCTTTATAGTTTGCCATTTAAAAAATTTGAAAGGAGTGGTGTGTATATTCCTGCCATCATTTGGGTGAGAAGTCATTGAAATATTTAAAGTTAAAAGTTAAAAATTCGAAACGGTGACCTTTGTTTTCTTTTAAAATGCATGAAGAATCCCCTTCATCGCTAATATATCAATAGAAAATATAATTAATCAGACTTTAATTTATGTACATGAGACTATATCTGTATATACCTTTTGCAAGACAAATGCTTATGATTGATTAGGCCTAAACAAGAATTTTTCATTTTGAAATTAATACCTACCATATAAGAGAGTTGTCCATATTGATAAGACAAGTACACGTGCTGAAACAAACATGTTGTTTTCTGAAACTACACAACCTATCGACGGTGGTCGCTATATAATATTGTTCACATTATCTCCGATCTATTTACATTTTTCAGTAGGCGTTCACAATGCCCTCTATCCGAGTAAACAGATTACAAAAGGGTAGATAATCCTTTAAAAAAAACAATTTTTAAAAAGCATACAAAAGAAAAAAAATATTTTTAATGCATGGATTTGAATCCACACAAAAAATAATAAACGAATAAAATTTCTAATTCAACAAACTTTTCCTTTTTTATTTATTATATCCGGAATATAATGACGAGTTTTTTTTAGAATTTAGATTTTACGAGGGAGTACTTATTATTGCATAAACTATTTAACAAGATAACTAATTAATAATTGAAAAGTTCTTGAATGTATCTATGATATAACAATTAAAATTTTATAATTTTTTTTATATTAAAATCTCAAGATTTCTTTAATTTATATTTTTTTTTTAGACAGGTAACGATAAGCAATAATATTTATCGGAATTATGAACAATAACTCCTCCTTTCACCCATGTGTTTTTTTCACAACATAGCACACTGTGACTGTCTCTGATTTGAGTGGAAATATTAACTGGAAACATGCCGAGAAGGCCAAGAAAAAAGGCGGTGGAGAATATTGTCAATTATGACTCTGATGACGAGAGGAAATATTCCAAGGAAGCCGTGCCAGATCCCACTCAGGAGGATTTCTTCTTTGACAATGTGGATAAAAACCATGCTGCAAAAGAAAAGATTCTTCTGGATAAAGGACTGAGAGACAACGAGCAATATTCATCAGACAGCGATGAGGAAGTTCTGGGCCTAGGTGTGTATGATGACGATGATGATGACTTGCTTAGTGATGATAGTATTCAAAACTACAAGAAACAGCTGAGAAAGCTCAAATTACACAAATTAAAAAATGACAGGGAAAAAGATACAGAGAGTGGAGGAAAGGACCTCCCAGACTTGAAGGCATGGGGCAAGAAGAGGTCTAAGTACTATGGGGCAGATATAAGTGATGATGACATAGACCTGAGCGGTGAAGAAGAGGAGGAGGGGGCAGCAGTGCTGGAAGAAAGGGAAGCCATGAACTTGCAGAAAAAAATGGCAGCTGAGTTAGAACTCGCAGACTTTCATTTGGGGATATTTGAGAAGAAAAAGAGTGTTACTGATGAGGAAGTCGGTACTGGGAAGATCAGCAAGGAATTGTCTGAACTCTCTGCTGAAGAAAAATTACAACTGTTAAAGAAAAAATCTCCAGAAATGTTACCTCTTATAAAAGATTTTGAGTCTTTGATAAAGCAAGCTAAAAACAAGTTTCTTCCTCTTTCAAAACTCACAGGAGGTGGCAAAATTTCAAAAAATGCATCAGATTACATTCAGTGTCAACTTCAACTTATTCTCAACTACTGCACAACTATTAGTTTCTACATGATGCTGAAGGCAAAACAATTACCAGTTCAGAACCATCCAGTTATTAAAAGGCTTGTGCAATACCAAAATTTGATGAAGCAGATGAAGCCAGCAGATGTTAAGTTAAACAACCAGATAGAAGAAATTCTAAATAAAGTAAGAAATGGAGAGGAGATTTTCCTGGAAGAAAATAAACCCCAACGACCTTCCACATTTATAAAGCCAAAGAGAAGGAGTATGAAGACTGTGAGGGAGAAGGCAATGGAGATCTCTAGACCCGGTGAAAGTGATGAAAGTGACGAAGAGGATATTCCCAACAAAAGACAAAAGATAGAAAATCCACGCTATGAGACAGAGGATGAAAAAGCAGCCTTGGCTTACTATGAAATGATGAAAATGAGGCAAAGTTCTGAAGACGAGGATGAAGAAAGAGAAGGAGGAGAGGAAGACTTAGAGGGAGAAGAAGATGAAGAAGCTGAAGATGGAGGGAAGAGGGCCATTACTTACCAGATTGAGAAAAACAAGGGCTTGACACCAGCCAAGAAAAAGGAGCTGAAAAACCCAAGGGTTAAACATCGAATGAAATATCGCAAAGCTAAGATTAGGAGGCGGGGCCAGGTACGAGATGTTAGGACCGAGACGTCTCGTTATGGTGGAGAAATATCAGGAATTAGATCCGGGATCAAAAGAGGAATAAAAATGAAAGTGTAGACTTTAAATAAATTGTTCAATAATATATTCTTCTTTAATTTGATCATGTGTTCATTTAAATGATTGTGTAAGCTACATTTTAGTACCCCGGTAATTTCTTCAAGAAAGTTTGAAGTTATATTCCTAAAAGTTTCAAATAATTTGTATATAAAGCTTTCTGAACAAGAATAATAATGTGAGGGGATCGAGGTTAAGAATATAGTTTTGATCTTTACATTCTAAGGCAGAGAGAAAAATGTATTAATTAATATTGCAAATTCCAGAGTACATGATAGAGTGTTTCACACAGTTTTCCTTTTAAATTAAGACATACCAAGGGATATAAATATATAAACATGGGATGGAGTGTTTCATACGCATTTGTAAATTACTGTTAGTAATTGTACTTTTTCATTGATTAAAATAACTTCTACTATGGCAGAGTAAAACTGGATTATATTAGTCATTCTAACATTTGATTTATCTGTCATATATTTTAATTATTAATTATCAATAAAGGGGGAAAAATTCAAATTTCCATACAAGATCATAAGAGAGGACCACCAAAGTCCAGAACCACTGGAGTCCCAAGAATATCAATTTTTCAGAAGAAGAAGCACTCTTGCTCTTCACTATCAACCAAATTATTTGTCTGCTAAATATCCAGCATTTAAAACTTTCAAATAATGCATTTTCTCCGTATTGGGCATCTGCATGGCCCTATCAGCTCAGCAGGAAAGCCCCAACATAGTTACATGTTGATCCCGGGTTCAAGTCATCTGGCTGAGGATCTTCCCTGCATGCAGGCCCCCAACAACACAATCTATGGGTGTGTGGTTTATCAGAATCTAAGTGGGTGAGGTTTTCAATATAGAAAACATCAAAAACAAGAGGCCCACAGGCCTTATAGGTCACCTGAATATCCTTTAACAACTTTCCAACGTATGAATTTGGTTCATGTCTTAAACCAGAGGCCATAAAATTCCTAATTTTGCAAGTCATTTTAACTTTTCAAGTAGCTACCCAGAGGCAGAGTAGAGAAACAAAGAAAAATGCATTTCCATTAATCAGCAATTTAATCAGTAATACCCCCATTCCACAGGAACCCCTGACCCTGGAGCCATACATTTCACAATTTGGGAAAAGGCACCCTTGCTCATCATTTATGTTTGATGAATACCAAGGAACTGATTTCAAAGCTAATTCATTTTTAGTACATAATCATTAAGCCCCCCCCCCCCCTTTCTCCCCAGTAACCCTGACCAAGAGACCTTGAAATTCACAATTCAGGAAGAAGTATCATAGCTTGTTTATTGTAACTGCATACTTGGATCATCAGCATTATATAACCAAGAGAACACTTTCAAACAATTCATGCAAATTTCACTATACGTACACATGTATAATCATTAGAGCCCCTCCCGAACACCAGAACCCCTGACCCAGGGACCATGAAATTCACAAATTTAGAAGAGGCATCCTTCCTCATCGTAACTATCTTAAAATATTGTTTGTTTAATATCAAGTAGGTGATTTTCAAACAATTCATGCATTTTCACTGTATAATCATTAGAGCCCCACCCTCACACTAGAACCCCTGGGTCAGGGCCATGAAATTCACAATTTTGGAAAAAGATATCCTTCCTCACCATTTGTACATAGTTCATTTGTTTTATACCCAAGAGCAGAAAAGATTTTCAAACAATTCATGCCTTTTCACTTTAAAATCATGAGAGCCCTGCCCTAACTCCAGAACCCCTCAATCTGATTAAAATCCGATCCTTTGATCCGCTTACATAAAGATAGCTACACAAGGCAATCTTTATGTGAGCAGATCAAATGATATGATTTTAATCAGATTGCTGAACCCCTGATCCAGGGGCCATGAATTTCACAATTTTGGTCCAGTACTCAATGCTTATTACAATCATGCCAACAGGTTGACTGCTTGAAAGATTGTTTTAAAGATTGCATTAACAAGATGTGGGAACAAGGTGGGCAGAATGCCTATAGCGTCCTATATTAAGAAATCATATTCAATATGTAAATTGAGTATTTCAATTAACTTCCAATTATTGAAATTTTTGAAATTATGAGAAAAAAACTTTTCTGAGAGAAAAAAAATCTTGTAAAAATTTTTTTTTCATAAAATTAACAGATGGTATTAGCCGGATTCGAACCCTAACAATAAAAATCCAACATATCAATAACATACTGCTTTGAGACTAACGCGTTAACCACTATGCTACATAACTCATTGTGATTTGGGGCATTTACCGGTAATCATGTTTGTGATATGACCCGCGACTTAATGGACTTGAAGTATATCTCGGAAAGATGCGTATGTTGTGTCATAAAAGTGTACTTTTAGGGTATAGTGGGTTTTCGCTCCATGTTTTTGTAAACCAAAAAATGTGTATTTTATTGCAAACTTTTAGGATCCTCTTTCAAAACAAGAGGCCCATGGGCCACATCGCTCACCTGAGAAGCTTTGACCATTCTGTTCTTTAGCAGATTTCACCCTTGTTATACATAATGCATCCCCATCCTACCCCACTGATCATAATTTAGACATTTTGAAATCTACACTACCACATGATCCTTCCATGGGCACATATGTTTCAGCTTTTTGGCCCAGTGGTTCCCGAGAAGAAGATTTTCAAAGATTTTTCCTATATATTTCTATGTAAAACTTTGATTCCCTATAATGGCCCCGCCCTTCCCCCGGGGGTCATTATTCCTACAATTTAAAATTTACACTACCCCAGAATGCTTCCACATAAGCTTCACTTTTTCTGGCCCAGTGGTTCTTAAGAAGAAAATTTTCAAAGATTTTTCCTATATATTTCTATATAAAACTTTGATTCCCCATTGTGGCCCCACCCATCCCCCGGGGGTCATTAATTGAACAATTTAGAATCTACATTATACCAGGATGCTTCCACATAAGTTTCAGCTTTTCTGGCCCAGTGGTTCTTGAGAAGAAGATTTTCAAAGATTTTTCCTATATATTTCTATGTAAAAATTTGATACCCCATTGTGGCCCCGCCCTTTCCCTGGGGGTCATGATTTGAACAATTTAGAATCTACACTATACCAGGATGCTTCCACATAAGTTTCAGCTTTTCTGGCCCAGTGGTTCTTGAGAAGAAGATTTTCAAAGATTTTTCCTATATATTTCTTTATAAAACTTTGATTCCCCATTGTGGCCCCACCCATCCCCCGGGGGTCATTATTTGAACAAATTAGAATCTACATTATACCAGGATGCTTCCACATAAGTTTGAGCTTGTCTGGCCCCGTGGTTCTTGAGAAGAAGATTTTCAAAGATTTTTCCTATATATTTCTATGTAAAACTGTGATTCCCCATTGTGGCCCCGCCCTTCCCCCGGGGGTCATGATTTGAACAATTTAGAATCTACACTGTACCAGGATGCTTCCACATAAGTTTCAGCTTTTCTGGCCCAGTGGTTCTTGAGAAGAAGATTTTCAAAGATTTTTCCTATATATTTCTATGTTAAACTTTGATTCCCCATTGTGGCCCCGCCCTTCCCCCGGGGGTCATGATTTGAACAATTTAGAATCTACACTATACCAGGATGCTTCCATATAAGTTTCAGCTTTTCTGGCCCAGTGGTTCTTGAGAAGAAGATTTTCAAAGATTTTTCCTATATATTTCTATGTAAAACTTTGATTCCCCATTGTGGCCCCGCCCTTCCCCCTGGGGTCATGATTTGAACAATTTAGCATCTACACTACCCCAGGATGCTTCCACATAAGTTTCAGCTTTACTGGCCCAGTGGTTCTTGAGAAGAAGATTTTTTAATGACCCCACCCTATTTTTGTCTTTTCTTGATTATCTCCCCTTGTAAGCGGGCTTGGCCTGTCATTTTATCAATTTAAACCTTCATTTTAACAATTTAAATTCCCCTTTACCCAAGGATGCTTTTTATCAAGTTTGGTCAAAATTGGCCCAGTGGTTCTTGAGAAGAAGTCGAAAATGTGAAAAGTTTACAGACGGACAGACAGACAGACGGACAGACGGACGGACAGACGGACGGACGACGGACAAAATGTGATCAGAAAAGCTCACTTGAGCCTTCGGCTCAGGTGAGCTAAAAAATGGAGCTAAGACCCACTCATATTGAAAAAAATTGTTAAAGTACTAGAAAATGATCGTTTTTGTTCTTTTTAGTGTGTGTAAGCTTTTTCATACACAAATATTTTCTGTTTTAGATTTTTGTAATTTGTAGAGATTTTACATAAAGAGTCCTTTAATATTAGGTGAAATATTAAATAAAATTTGGATTTAATTGATTTATCTGTCGCACTATAGGCACTTCGCCCGCCTTATTCCCCCATCTTCTTTGGTGGTTTTAGTGCCACCCCTCAGGACCAGAGGGGGAGGGGGTTGCCACAAAGTTCACCCATGGATGATACATGTCAAAACTGGTTAAGTGATTTCAGAGAAGAAGCTGAAAATGTACCAAGACAGATAGCAATAGGTCACCCGGGTGACTCAGGTAATCTAAAAAGGATTTTACTTGGTAGCTCTGCATTAGAGCATGGATATATTCAGCAGGCAGTTTACAGTTATCAATAAAACCAACCTCTAGTCAAAACATCCACTTTTCTCTACCTTTAACATCTCTAGTAAATGATCAATGGATAAAAAGTTCCACCCTAACTTCAGACTCCTTGACCCAATATAGTATATGGGATATTTTTATTTATGAAAAGAAAGGTTAAACACATCAAGCACCTGTGTTCTAGTCACCGATTTTTAAGGAATTTGTTTAGAACTGTGAAGAATTGCTGATTTACACCAAATTAGGGAAGAATGTAATGTTACAGAACCTTTCAACTAACGGAGATAATTCAAATTTCAGATTATTCAACGTTACAGTGAAGTCCATTGAAGTGGCAAAATTTTCTGTTTAAAAGGAATATTAGTTTCCTTCCAAATGCAGATTGTCACATAGAACAATGCTCAATCCTTCCTCAGAAAGAAAAAAATGTTTATTCAATTATACCTGTAGAACAGGTTATTCCATAAATAC